AATTCCCGAACGAGAAAGCTGAAAATTCATTTAAATTGCCAAATCGTATGACATTCTCATGTATGTGTAACAAATTATGTACGTTATAAGAAACAAAATCTTGACCATAAATATCGATACTTGTTTCAACAAAGCATTTTATTAGATTTTTTGCATAATTCACCATATCTATTCTTTTGCAGAATTCGTTACTACACATTATTAGAGTAGCAACACGTAATGTCAAGAAATGGTAATAATTATTTTTTGAAAGAATTTGTTTGAAAATTACAGGTCCTGTATATACCCAGTAAGCAAAATGCGCGCAATATGCCAGCAGATTGGCAACAGATTTCCTCAGCTCTTGCTAGCAATTTGGCATCTGTTATGTCCGCATTAGGCTAATGATCTGCCAGCAGAGCCTGCTCACAGAATCTGAGAGCAGATTGGCAGCAGAAACCGAGCAGGATCTGCTAACATGATTTGACGTCAGATTGATGGCAGAAACCGAGCAGGATCTGCGCGCGCGCAAACTGACGGCAGATTGGTAGCAGAAACCGAGCAGAATCTGCAACTTTTGGCCATTCATATAAAATGGTGCATTTAAATGAATTTAAAAGGTCTCAAACTCAAGTGGCAAAATGACGGTGAATTTTGATCACAAAATGATCAATTAGATGTCTTAAGCTAGGTCTCATAAAACCCGAAAATGGCGTCAATAGTTGATATATCACATTCACAAGACGTCATTTTCTGACATTTGTATTAATAACATATAAATATATAATATTAATAACATATATTAATGTAATATATATAGAAAAATTTAAATAATTTATAAAATTAAAGATTTATGTATGGAATTTAATTTCTATTTTATATCTAAGTAGATAATAACGATTTTCATTTATTCGGACAATTTCTGTCCACATAAGTGAAAATCGGACATTTACTTGTCAGATTTTCCAAAAATTAGTTTAATATCTGAATTCCCCTGTATGGGAATCGTATCAGAAATTAAACTGATAAAAATAATTAAAATGTCATTAATCGCATTTTGCAGGCTTTATATACGCTCATGACAAGAACTTGAATACGGGTATAGAAAGTAAATAGTGCGCCGCATAGCGGTAAGCGAATAAACTATACTATTTCAATAAATTATATAAATGGCTAAAAGCTGCAAAACCGCGCCGTAGTCGCGTGTAAATAAAACCGTTGACGACTGCACGCCGCACCTGTCGTGCGCTTCTCGCCGCTTTGCGCCCATCGTCTCCGCTTTGCGCTCCGCACCCTGCTACCAGCGACACCGCTCCACGCACGACATCACCCAGCCCTGCACGCTGTATCTATCTATCTTGCTTTAAATAAATTATCTTTTTACTTCACTCTGTGTTCTCGTAAGCTTGAGTCTCCCCTCCTCTCGAACCCGGACACCGACGAGCGTCGAGCGAGGTGACCGCGTTACACAGTAATATGTCTACACATATTGCATGTTCATTAGATAATACGAAAACGTAAGGGTTCTTCCTGCAATTTCGCCAGGGTAGGAACGATTCCAACTGCTTTCGTGAAACCATCTTGAAACGATGTGTATTAAAGTGTCTTATTTGAAGCAAAACACTTTACAAAGTATTTATGCATTTTGTATAAAACGGCAAATGAACTACGCAAGTGAACTACGACGTTGTTCGTTACCATGTTCGACGGCGGGAAAATCATACTTCAGCGATCCACACAAAGCACTTAGGCCGGTATTCATAGTCAGTTCTTATATTTAAGACCGTCTTAAGCACAATCTTAAGATGTCCTAAACCAATCACAGAGCCGTATTACGATTTAATCTGAAATAACAACTTCTGTGCCAAATTTGTATCCTTTTTGCTAACAATAATTGATAGCAGGCACTTGCCATGATTTGCTTTCGACAGACTTGGCTATCTGGATAATTATTATAGTTGAAATATGGTTTTGAAAAATGACGGGACGTCACACAAGGCATCCTTTTTTTGTTCATTTCATTACATATAATGATTTAATATTTATAATTTAACATCATTATGTATAATGCAGTCTTCTTCAATAAAAGTTATATTCATATTGGTCATGTTGTAAATAAAAAAAATATAAAAAGTTATAACAATTTTATATATATATTTCGGAAATAAATTCTTTTCCATAATTATATTACATTAATTTTTCTATCTTGCATATTGTTTGACCATTATAAAAAATAATTCGTGAGTTTATACCGTAATATTATATTATGTGAAAAAACACACATTAGGAACGATGACAGTTAGATAATGTAAATCTCTTAACAACTTAGTATATTTAAAATGTTGGTTTATATTTATAAAATAAGGAGAGCGATAGCAGTGTGATAAAATTATTAAATAAATAAACATTCATTGGCATTTTAAAACAATTATAATATATAATTATTAATTTAATTTAACAAATTATATAGTACAGTAAAGCTGCGACATGCTTATGTGTACAATTCGTATGAGAGAAAGGATACATCAATAAAATCAGTCTTTTGTAATAGCGTTTTCGAATGGACGGGTTTTAATTCATTCCGGATCAATTAATCACTATTTTACTATGAATTCAAGTCTTTTATTGGCAGAGACGATGCAATGACGTCATTGATCAACTTTGGATCGATCAAACCTGCTTCATTTGAAAACGCTAGAAAACGCAAGAAAACTAAATAGATATTTTAGGAATAATCGATTGTGGTTGGTCAATTTGCTAGCGACTAATGGCCCTCGCACACTGTGCTGTGTTCCGATTCCTCACTCGGGTGCACCCGATATTATAGTATATGTCACGTATAGCCTTGGGTATCGATCATGTAACTTTTCCCCTAGGGCGGAAAAGTAAAAAGTGAAAAATTTTATCATTGATTTCAATGCTAATATTTTTCACGTTTTTGCCCTAGGGAAAAAGTTACATGATCGATACCCTGGATGCGATGAGCGATAAGCGATGGGCGATATCCAATGAGAGCTCTGCTTTTTCGGAAAAGCAGAGCTCTCATTGGATATCGCGCGGCGTATCATCGCGCTGGTCTGCAACAGCCATAAGTCCGGATCTACAGGTATAGTAAAGGCTGATTTATGCAGGTCGTAAAGGCTGATTTATGCAGGCCGTAACTGTTAATTTATGCCGGAACCGTTAGAGTGTAACACTAGGATTACAATGCTTTTGTTCATAATGACATTATGAACTAAACGTTACGTCTCTTTCTAATAAAGCCTGATTGGTTGGCAAAAAATCTGCAGTACTGCTGATCCAATCAGGCTTTATTAGAAAGAGATGGAAGTGACCTCATATTATCCGCTTTTCACTATACTCGTGCGACTCCCTTTCCACTGCCATCAGCAGTCCATTCTCCATTCTATATGTCGATGGCACAAGTGAGCATAAGTGAGCATAAGCATGAGGTTATGTACACAAGGAGAAAAATGAAGAGATCGCACTCAAAACGAAACGAAGAGGAGATCGAGGAAAGCTATCGCAAACGAAGAGATTACAAACGCAATGACAATCGTAAGGAGTCTAGGCATAACGATGACCACAGTAGTTCCAGGTGCGGTGAACACAGAAGTTTCAGACGAGACAGTAATCATCGAAGTTCTAGACGTGACGATGATCATCGGCGTACTAGACGCGATGATCACAAAAATCTTAGATACAACGACGATCGTAAGGATAATAATGGCGAAAGGGGCAGAAAGCAGAATTTGCCGGAAGAAGAAGTAGGAAGTAGGTATTATGGAGAACCGGATAAAACGCAAGAGAATGTAGAGGAAGTTAGGCAAAAGCGTACAGTGGATCTTCTGACTTCAAAGACGGGAGGTGCGTACATTCCACCTGCCAAATTGCGTATGCTCCAAGCAGAGATAACTGATAAGTCTGGAGCTGCTTATCAACGTCAATGCTTTTGTTCATAATGCCATTATGAACTGCCTTTAGCCTTTAGCCTTAAAGCGGCGTCTACAATAGAGATTTTAAGCCCTAAGCCTTAAAAAATTGACCAATCACAGTCAAGTATGAGGAGAATACTCGACTGTAATTAGTCAATTTCTTAAGGCTTAGGGCTTAAAATCTTATTGTAGACGCCGCTTTAGCCCGCATGAAACTATGCATTAAGATTGAAATTTGACCAATCAGGACAAGGAAATTTTAGTTCTTTTTATCCTGATTGGTCAAATTTCAATCTTAATGCATAGTTTCATGCGGGCTAAAGCGGCGTCTACAATAAGATTTTAAGCCCTAAGCCTTAAAAAATTGACCAATCACAGTCAAGTATGAGGAGAATACTCGACTGTAATTAGTCAATTTCTTAAGGCTTAGGGCTTACTACACCTATTGTAGATCCGAATTTACGCGTGGCGGAAATGGTCACGCGTCTCAAAATCTGAATATGTTTTGCGCATGCGCATTACAATTATAAAATAACTTATTTTGCACGTAATTAAAAAATTTATCAATTCACAAACGTAATATTGGTATATTTGTAAATCACAAACGATTTCCTGTCGATTTCACTTATCAGTTATCATAAAATCTGTTTATTGCTAAAAAGTATCGGCTGACATCATGACTAAACTAAAATTGTTAATTACAAAAAACCTAATTTGTCACAAACGTTAAAAACACCGACGAGATATCATTAGAGATCGATGGTCTTATAGGATTTAGCAAATTAGTGGTAAAAAAACTCGCCACGCGGTACTGTAGGTAAGTAAATCTTTGCATTGTCGATAATAAAACAGTAAATTTACGATAAAATGTTTATTTTGTTATTCTTGAGGCAGTTATATAAAAAATCTATACATTTTTGATAATAAAACAATAACTAGATGAACTAAAATAACGCGCAGCGAGTTTTTTTTCCAGTTACATTAAATCCCATAAGACCACCGGTCTAATGATATCTCGTCGGTGATGTAGGTCAAAAAATGTATATTCAAAGTTCATGAATTTATTGCAACATGAATGCGTTTGCGCAAACGCGCCGCGTACAGTTTCCATCCATCGGCGCTTCGGCGCAACGCTCGCAAAAATCATCTGTCTTTGTTTAACTTTTGGTGAATAACAACGATGAAATGATACCGTGAGTGTTGCGGGCATTAAGTGGAACGCGCCCTATACGTTTAAGATGGTAGGTCGATACGATGTTTTGACGAATCATTTTTATCCGCGAATATTTCGGAGATCGTTGTCGTTAAACACACCACGAAATCCGCATTCGCATTCGAAATATATTTATTGGAATTTACTGTAAATATCTTTTGAGACGACGTGCGATAATTTTTACGTGACGGAACATAATCTTGTTAAAGCAGAACATGTTTTGATTCACTGCGACGATGCGATAACATTTTGTCAATTATTTAACAAGATAAATGGCATCATTATTCGGCAAAATTGTGGTATGTGTTGTAATATCTGTTTAATCTTTGTGCGTTTTTTTTCGATTTTTTAAAGGTTAACGTACCGAAGCAAAGGCGTACTTTTTGCAAAAAATGCAAAGTACACAAGACTCACAAAGTGACGCAATACAAGAAGAGTAAGGAAAGACATGCCTCGCAGGGTAGAAGACGTTATGATCGCAAACAGCAAGGTTTTGGCGGTCAAACTAAGCCCATCTTCAGAAAAAAGGTAAGCCTATATTCTTAAATTATTAAAAATACTTAAAGATGGATTGCAGTTTTGCACTACATTTATTAATCGATGCATAATATGACTAGAAAATACTATCATAGACCCTCTTATTAACATGCAAATTCATGAATGTTATTCTCTATTGTGATAGTCTTTAGTGTTATTAATTAAAATGTTACAATATTGATTCGATTTATACCATCAATGATATTAACAATTAATACATGTATTATATTAAAGTAATAAAAATTATTTTTGCTTTCTATTAAATATATTTTATCATATATCATATGTTTATTTAGGCGAAAACGACAAAGAAAATTGTACTGAGGATGGAATGTACGGAATGCAAGTACAGAAAACAAATTCCGCTGAAAAGATGCAAGCACTTTGAACTGGGTGGTGACAAGAAGAGGAAGGTGTGTACAAACATATTTGAAAAAATATTCAAATAAAGATAAAACATCAAATTGATTTTTAATTAACAAAATTACTGTTTTCAGGGTCAAATGATTCAGTTCTAAATTATCCACTCAATGTTGTCAGCATATTCTGGATTTAATAAGAAATAAATAAATCTACAAGGATTTGTACAAATCTTTATTTGGATGGACTAAAGATGAAGAGATAGAAATACAGTTTGCAGCTAAAGATCCTCGCCATGAAAAGTACTTTAAAATGTTACATGTTGGTGTACCAAAAGAAGGAGTTAAATTAAAGATAAAGCAAGAAGGACTGGACACCTCCATATTGGAGTAAGTGTGATATCTGCTTTCATTTATACAAATATTGTAACATTTATGGTATATTTGATTAACATTGACATGATAGTAATATGTATACTTGATATTAAATATCTCAATATTCACATTTAGATATTAACTGTAAAATTTAATTTAAATATATTAATTCTCTATCATTAAGAGAGACACACATTGCTATTTTAATATAAAAAAAAGCATTACTGTCAATATATGTATGCACACGAGTCATAATTTATTTTATATATCTGGTACAAGACAAATGCAAATACTGAGATACATATCATTTTAATACCTCTTTTCTTCTTATCTTGTTAGCATTCCACAACAGATAGCTTTTATACCACGGTCGTCGGATAACAGGAAGAATCAAGGTGAATAAGAATTAAGATGTTAGTGCTGCTTGTTTAGGTATGTTGGACATTTTCACATTATAAAATACAAACCATCCAAATAAAGATGTGTACAAATCCCTGTAAATTTATTTATTTCTTATTAAATACAGAATATACTGAAAACATTGAGTGGATAATTTAGAACTCAATCATTTGACCCTGAAAGTTGTAGGATATTAAGAGGGACAGATGTCATCATCTGTCCTTCTTAATATCCTACAATTTTTGTCTGAAACGTTTTTCCATATCTAAAGCCGTTTCCGAGATCCAGGGGACTGGGTCAGACTTTAGAGACACCCTATATATACACGCGTTCATCGCATAGGATTGTCAGATGGACGAGCATTTTTATTTATATCCCGCGTAATCACAAATAATAAAAGATATCTTAATATAGTTACACTTATCGATTGGATGTTTTATATACCAATTTTGATGCCGGCTGTGTTAATGGTAAATAAATCCAATCCGCGGTTTCGCGGCGACCGAACCGACATTTCGTAGACGGTTTCCTCTCTCGCCGCGTTTTAATACGCGCGAGAGAGAGAGAGAGAGAGATTCAAGATTCTTGGAATATTAAGACATCGCCTCGGTCGCGATATCGCTTCGCCGCAGTGACAAACACAGAGAAAGAGAGAGAGAGCGATTGCGTGCACCACGTGACCGAACATGACATAACCTATTTGAACACTGATGAATGCTGGTGACGGAGATGGTATATAATCGTAGAATTTCAATCGGTTGTTTTATTCGTAAATGAAGAAAACGTCTGATAACATAATAATAGTTTAGCATTAATATAAATAACAGTTTGTCATTAATACCGTGATTACTATCGCCAGTTTATTCTGATAAAACGTAAAGCATTCTGCTTCTGACATTGTTTCCGAGATCGAATAACACGGGAAGAATCATCGTCGGGACGAAATTCCTCGCGACCCTCGTGCGATGTCAGCCGGATCATTAGCGCTTCCTGGAAGAGACGGACAAACAGTACGTATAGCAATTAGTCGAGCGTTTCTTCTAGACGCGACCATGCAACAACCACGTCTAACCTCATTTATCGACGATACAACGTCGCATCTCAGGAGTTGTTATCGCAGTGCCCGAAAAAAAAGCCCGAAGCAACAGCATCATCGTCATCGTCATCATCATTAAAAACGGTAAGCGATAGATATCTCTTTCGGTCCGCAATCTTACATTAAAGATACTTTTCTCCTCTAAATGAAACAGCTCATTTACATTCAAGGAGGGAAAAAAAAATAGATGCGATAGAGATGCAGAGAGTACATGATCAAAAAGAAATTCCAAATTAAAGTGTAAGCAACATGTTTTGTCATGCGTTTTCTTCCTCTGTCAACAGAGACGAGCAACGTGAATAAAAACATCGTGACGGAGGAGAGGACGGAGGACGCGTCACGTGATCAGAGTCGTGAAGGTATAATCGAGAGATGGCGCCACTGACGGGTCAAGCGAGACTGGCATCGTACGAAGGCAAATTTTCCGATATGAGGCCGAGTGAATAAGAAACGAACGACGATCTCATCACTGCGGTTTCCTATTTACTAACGTTGGCGGTCTATTAAGCGCAGCTTGCGGTGCGAGTATGTTTTGAGAGCGGTAACAGCCTACAACCAGTAACACACGGAGCATTATATTTATTTGGAGAGAGCTCCTTACAAGGTAAAGATCCTGTTTATTGCCTCACAGCTCTCTCACTTGTACTCGCGTGCTTCTGCAAATAGTAGCACTTTGGATGATTCTACAAAGGTGATAATCTCTGCCAGAATGCCCTGCGATATGTTGTATCCGGATGTACAGTTGCCTAAATTGCTGCTATTAACAGCAGTACTTGTTGTTATCGCTGTAGGAAATGTTATAGGCATTAAGAATTTATGAGAGATAACACTTACTGCTTATCTTTGTATTTGAGTGTTGTTGCAATAAATATATCTTATGTATTAATGAAAACTTATTCTTTTAGTTTATTATATTAACTGTTACATATAGTAACTATATGGTATACTGATAATGTGATTATCATTACATAAATAGATAATAAGTGTAGACATATGTATCCATGCCGATTCCTTTCTCCAATCAGATTTTTTGTGATGAAGGTAATAACCAAAATGGCGTCCCATGAAAGCTGTGAAGGTTCTGTAAAATCTCCTGCCACAGATAAAATAGATGCAACTGCGCAATTGAAAGATGATGAAAAGGAATCATCAATTATTTCGTCAGTCAATAAGCACGATGAACCGAACAATGCTATTGATACAGAAGAGAAGAAAAGTTTGACATTGGATACAAGCAATGAATATGCAAATGTACAGGAAAAGGATGCCGACAATGTAAAAAGTGAAAACAAACATGATCCAAACTCGCCGGTAACTGTTAAGAAACAATTAGACGATAGTGAGGCAGATAAGAAGCAAGAGGCACAAAATGTGGATAAAAAGCAGGAGACATCAAATGCAGATTCTCAAAAGACGAAGGAAGAGAAGGATATTAAAAATGAAGATGATAAAGATTCTGTGGCAAAAATAGGATCTGCCTTAAAACGAAAACGCAAATCTTTAAGGTTAGTATAACATTTCCATGGAAAATTTGCATTTAAATGTATAAAACAATTGATCCTTCTTATAACTTGTATAAAACAAATGAAATGATATTATATCTTACATATAAAGAGAGGAATATTAATATTTCTAGCATTTTGACGGCAACGGAATCTTCTGTTGAGGAGAGCACTAGGAGCAAGAGGAAAAAATTAAAGAGCGCAAGCGATCAATTCTGTTGGCGGTGTCATAAGGAAAACGTCGATGCTCATTGCACCGCGTGTCCTCGCTCATGGCATCGGAAATGTATAGGTGGCATGCCGTCTTCCTTGGAGAAATGGATATGCGGGGAATGTGCGACCATCTTGAAAGCGGAGAATGCC